TTGGTTACCCATAACCATATATCAGATATATATTATATTTATCTCATTTATCCATTTGTTAAATGAGATAATATCTGATATCTATATCATCTATCCATATCATGATATGATAGATATATATCCTGAGTGGCTCATCCAAATAGGTTTGAATTTAAATTCAAATCCCATTTGGATGAGGTTCAAAAGGTTCTAAGGGTCATGCCACATGGGCGCCCAATTTCTAACATAAATAAATTTCATCTAGAATGAAGTGTTATTTTTAAATAATGAGTCACAATAGAGTACTGATTTCACAAAAAGATGGTATTATTTTATATAAAATTTATGAACAAAATGATACGCCCTCAGTTTCACAATAATAGTCTCTTTTGGAATTTTAACTTTTTAGTAAGTTATGTAATTATTGCTTTGAAATCAAATCAAAATATATTAACTTATCATACTCCCCGTTCTATTTTCATTGTTAAGTATATTTATAATTATTTTTAAAGGGTAGTTTTGAAATTCTCTAGAGTTTTATGTTTGGACTTTTTAAAATGGACAAGTATTTTGAGCCATCCAAAAAAGGAGAGATGGAAAAATAATATGGGACAGTGTAAGTATCTTTTAATTAGTTTGGCGGAAGTATCTTTTAATTAGTTTGGCAAAGTTTGGTTAAAATTAAGTGAATAAAGTACATAGTCAGCCTGAGTTACTTATATCAAAGTTAATTATATGGTGAGGGGTTGTAGTTTCAATTTTACCATTTTATTGAATTTTAATATGTTTTCTTTGTTACTTGTCATTAGTATTTCTTATGAAAAAATAATGTGTAAAATTAGAAGGGTCAAATTGAAACTATAATAACTAAAGTAAGTCTTGCTCAAATACGAAAGATCAATAGATATAATTTACCCTATCATAATAGATTAATGCATTATCTGGTTTACTTGAATAAAATGTAATTGAACGGGCATTCTATCATAATAATTGTACTTATTTTTGGTTAACTGAAAAATAATGAAAAATATATATTATAAATAAAATTATCATTTGTCATTGTATTGAAAAACTAAAGAATAATTATTTTATTTTATTTCACTCTAGTCAATCAAATAATAGTTGAAAAAAAAGTATAAAAGTCATTTGTATACATGTGTATTTGGAAATAATTTTTTTTAGTTGTATCGAAAATTATAAATTACTTAAATGTTTATTTTTTTAATAACTTTTTAATTTTTTAATAATTTTTTAATTTCTTAATTATTTTGACACACAAAAAAAGGGGGCTAGGTAGTAAATACCATATGCAGCTATGTAGCTTTTAGGCTGGGTAGTCAATTATAACCTTATTAATTTATATCATGGTCCATGGATTTAGTTGGTCCATCATACATGGACTACAACATAAAGTTAAGAATCACGGCCAACTAATTTTTTCTTTCTTCAAGTATTTTTTAGATTAATTACATTAATTTTTTTTTAAAATATCAGTTATATTTTAATTTTGTTAATTTGATACCAATCTACAAAAAATGAGTTAAATAATCCTCAAAGCACACATGGCCTTAATTTTTTAATAGAAACGACGTGCTTTTAAAAATTTATAAAAAATATATATGTATGTAACAAAATTAAAAGAGTGAGGTGCTAAAATCAATCATATATGTACATACATTAACAAAATATAAATATAAAAATTTAATTAATAATTTTATGTATTGTAAAAAAATAAAAATCAAATTTTAAACAAAAACTATAATATAAAAATTTAATATAAAAAATCTCACTTAAATTTGTCCGAATTATAGACTTCCAAAAAAAAAATTCAATCCTTTTAAATATATATGAAAAAATTTGTCACAACGGATTTACCGTCACCAAACTTTTTTTAATTTTTTGTACTTTTTAAGTGAAGTTGAGCCCCACTAAATTAAAAATTATTCGGCACGTTTTCATGGTCCGTCGTAGAAGTGTTGATATATATAATGGAACAACATGAAACAAACATCCTCACAAAAACAAACATAAGACATGGCATTGTCTCTTTCTACCACCACCACTGTCGCTATCGTATCAGTGATCCTTCTCCTCATCCTTCCTACCTCTTACTGTTCTGAATTCATCCCTGACTCTGACCGAGATGTTATTGAGTTCGCACTAAATTTAGAGTACTTGGAAACAGAGTTCTTCTTAAGTGGTGCCTTGGGACGTGGCTTGGATAGCATCGCTCCGAGTCTAGCCGCTGGCGGTCCACGGCCCATTGGCGGCAGACAGGCCAAACTAGACCCTTTCTTGAAGGATGTCATGTTACAATTGGGGTTGCAGGAAGTTGGGCACTTGAGGTTCATGATTTTCTTTCTTTCGATTTTATTTTATTTTATTTTTTCCCAAGTAGTTTTCCTGGAAAATTTTACAAAGGGTGCTGATGACCCACTTTTGAATATATTTGCAGGGCAATTAAGAGCGTTGTGAAGGGATTTCCGAGACCACTACTGAATATAAGTGCAGGAGTATTTGCAGAAGCGCTGAACACTGTATTTGGAAGACGCTTGGTGCCACCTTTCAATCCTTATGATAATGGGCTCAACTTCCTAATTGCCTCCTATGCTATTCCTTATGTTGGACTCACTGGATATGTTGGAGCTAATCCAAACCTACAAAGTGCCACTGCCAAAAGGGTATATGCGCCAATTTCATATTAATCTAAATATCGGTCGATATATATTGATTTTTGTCCTTTTAATATGGATACATCCTCGTGTATTTGTTAAAATAAAAATCACATGTGTATCGATTGACTCCTAAGCTAATTCACAACAGATATAATCGGTTCACAACTAGTTTAACGAGGTAGTTAGTTTTAAAAAATTCACAATCCCGACATCCAATCCTTGATAAATTCAAATCCTCTAAAGTTAAGTTGGGTAGTATTCTATAAAATAAGTTAGTAATTGGTTCAAACAGTTACTTATTAGACTATAATCCAATATTAAGTGTACATAAAATAAATAAAAAATGATAGTAGGACAAGTTTTGATTTTATCATTTTAAAGCGAAATATTTATCAAAGGTGACTTGTATATATTTTTAAAAAAAAACCATCACCATTATTGTTGTCAAAGATTTTATATAGTAATAGTAATTATTTTGTATGATTATGATTTTTCATCTTATAATTATGCTTACTTATGTCAATAATTTATTTTCCAATAAAAAACGAACTGTACAAATTAATAACAAAGGAGTTGAGTTGGGGTCATTCAATCTCGATACGTATCCCTTCACACTCCCAACAATATTATTAGGCCATGACTGATACTAATACGTTTATGTATTATGCAGCTAGTGGCAGGGCTTTTGGGGGTGGAGGCAGGCCAAGATGCAGTTATCCGAACACTACTCTACAGCCGGGTGCAGGAGAAGGTGTACCCGTATGGGATCACTGTCGCTGAATTCACCGATCGCATCTCAAAGCTGAGGGATAGGCTAGCACGCGACGGCCTGAAAGACGAAGGGCTCATAGTTCCGCAAGCTGACGGAGCTGAAGGAAAGATTTCCGGCAACGTCCTCTCCGCTGACCAAAACTCTCTTTCCTACGCCAGAACTCCCGAGGAGATACTTCGGATCGTGTATGGTACCGGAGATGAGCGTGTCCCAGGTGGCTTCTACCCTAGAGGAGCTGATGGTCGAATTGCCAAATCATATCTGCGAATCCATGGTGCTTAATTTAATTTCACTGATGAATATTGCCAAGTATTGGTGTTCATGAATAAGCTAGCTAGCTTACTTTGGTGTGTTTTTACTACTTTTCACCTTGGCTAATAATGGCTAGTCTACACAAATTTAAATACATATATGCATGCATGGTTGTTTCATCTTTACGTGCAAAAAAAATTAAATAAAGAAACATCTTACAAGATTTTAAGTCTCTTTCCAGTTTATACCTATATTTTATTTAATATATCTTTATTATATAAGATTTATATTGACCATCGATGGTTACCTTATCTTAATGGTTGGTTCCAACATTAGTAGTAGACTTGAACCAAAAAAAAAAAAAAAAAAAGTAGAAAATATGGATCAGAATTAGACATGAAGACAAGTCTTGCAATTTATCTTTCTTATTTTTCAAAAATAATAAGCAAATTTAAGCAGTTAAAGTAAGAACTTAATAAATCAACCCCATATCAAGGGTGCTGTTGATGATGAGTGCTTGAAAATGTGGAGTTGTTCGATTATTTTAGGGAGTTAATATACTTTTTATTATATTAATTCTCTTAATTTAATTTAAATTAAATTAAATTATAATTAATTATTCCCCTCTCTCTCTCTCTCATTTCTGTAGTGGGGTCCATTCATGTGGGGCAGGGTGGTAGATCCATTGTCAATCTGTCATATTAAGAAAATTGATTAAATAGTAATATTCAATTATAATAATTAAAAAATATATATATATTTTATAAATTTGTAAATATTTTATGAAAATCCTGATTTGCAATTTTTTATTAATTTTATTTAATAAATGAGTGGGCCCGGATGTGGACACATGGCGGAGGAGAAAGGAGTACAGCACGGGGAATTGTTTTTTGTGGCCCTGTAAGTTTTGTTTCGAAAGTCAAAGTTGGAGTTTTTTTTAGTTATTTTAGTAAAAAAATAAAATAAAATAGGTAAAAATTTAATAAAATAAAATATCACATCTAATTCATAATCATTATATATTTTTTTTTTATAAAAAAGTCAAAAAAGTCTAAAATTCTTTTCAAATCAAACTTTTTAATCCTAAACTAAAATAACTAAAAAAGTCAAAAAATTAAAAACCAACTCACTTCCCAAACCAACCCGTAATTCATAATAAAAGATGCGCTGTCACGTTAAACGCGCTGTGCGAAACACTGATCTCGTCGGCAACATAAATCTAAAAGTTGGCTCCAAGTCAAGGAGTAGAATAGGGCTGCTGAAAGACTAGCTCATTTTTTTCTTCTTATAAATGTCCACCGAAAGAAGGGGTGTAGTTGCCACTATTTCTCGACTTTATTTTCCTTTTTTTTTTAATGTATAAATTGAGGCGAGGAGGAATGGATGAGATAACAACAATAACAAAGTGTATGCAATTTAAGAGAGTAAGTGAGGCTACAGAGAGGAAGTGAGGTGTGAGTATTGTAAACTTCCTTTGGGAATTCTATAGTGAAAATCTATCTCTGTGAACGTAGGCAATTACCGAACCATATAAATCTTATATGTTATTGCTTGTGATTGATTTCTGAGTGTGCCTAATCCTAACACGAAGGTCATAGTTGGGCAGGGGTAAAATTATCCCATTAATAATAATGGGGATGAAGAATGTGAAGAGATGATATTTTAAGAATATTGATAACTAAAACTTATGGGTAAATAATTTTGTTTAACTAGACCAACATGTAAATGCGCATTTTTTTTTTGAAAAATTGCGACAGTAGTCTCTATATTTTGGTCTTAGTGTCATTTTGATATTTGTAATTTTAATTGGCTCTATTTTAATCCTGAATTTATGATTTTGTTTTAATTATGGCAAATGTTATACCTATTGAAGAGAAGATACTCTTAGTTAAGCAAATCACAAGGTAAACACTTTCAAGAGCTGAAATTTAGGGTCAAAAATTTCAGCAAGAGGCCTCAAGTCACTACAAGAAAAAACACCTTTGGCGACTAAATTTTTAGTCGCCAAAGGTCCGATTTTAGTCGCCAAATGTCAAAATTTCACTTTTCCCGACAAAAAAGTTTAGTCGCCCGTGTTGTCACCAATAAACGGTCGCGAATGCCTTTGGCGACTAAAACACTGTTAGTCGCCAATATATATGTCTTCAGCGACTAAATATTTCGTCGCCAATAGTCAATTTCTGCATTGGAAATTATACCTTTGCCGACTAAACTTTTAGTTGCCAATAGTTCATTTTTATTTTATTATTAATACCTTTGGCGACCATTCACTTTAGTCGCTGAAAGTATTTTCAGAAAAAAAAAAATTTCGCCTCCGCTGCTCCCAACAGGTTTCGAACTTGCGACGTCCCTTTGCACATGCCAAACCCTTTGCACAACACTCCCTCCACTATGCCAGTACATCATCACATGATCATATATGCAATATATATTATTTATATACTATATTAACCGCAATTAATACAAAATAATATTTATAAATATAATTTTTTTAATTCAATATAATTTTTGTCAAAAAATAAGTTATTTACTAAAAAAAAAATTAGGCGACTTTTGGCGACTAAAACCATTTTTTAGTCGCTAATTGTATTATTTTGGGCTACTAATTATTTATTTGTCGCTAAAAAAACAAGTTCTCAATTAAAAATCAGCACTTTTGGCGACTAAACAGAAATTTCGTCGCCAAAACCACTACTTTGGGCGACTAAAATGGATTTTCGTCGGCAAAACCCCCACTTTCAGCGACTAAATTGCTTTTAGTCGGCAAAACTGCTATAATCAGCGACTAAACCTGTTTTTAGTCGCCAAAACCCTACCTTTTCGCTACTAAATTATTTTAGTCGCTAAAAACCGTGACTTTTGGCTACGAAACAAAGTTTAGTCGCTAAAAACCATATATTCGGCGACTAAACTTCATTTTAGTCGCTAAAATCCTGCTTTTCGGCGACTATACTCTTTTAGTCGCTAAAACCTTGCTTTTCGGCGACTAATTTCATTTTAGTCGCCATTTGATGCACTTTCAGCGACGAATTTTTTTTTTTAGTCGCCATTTGTGTTTTTTGTTGTAGTGAGTTTTTGGTGTAGGAAGTGTATGGATAGTGTATGTGTAATGCAAGAGAGGGAGGAAGTGTGTTGGATAAGATTTTGGTAAGTAAGACTCAACACAATTAGATAAACACCTAAACCATACATGGCTTTCAAGTTAAAAGTTAAATCAACTCAATTTCTAAGACATTTATTTCGAGTTACAACACAAACTTTACACTGGTATTACGGTGACTCACAAGGTCCATCCTGAATGCAACCATGAGTAGAACACCGAATCTGTGGTGTTAGGTATACTCTTTAGTTGTGCCCAAAATCCATACGTGTTGATAGAGAGCTCTAGTTCCCGCATCAAGGGAAACAAGGTTGGAGGTTATTGGAGAGCCTGGGAGGTACGCACTGTACTTTTAATTTTTGTTTGCTTCTTATGCTTTCTGCTTTTATAGCTGTCCATGCATTATGCTTTCTGCTTTGCACATTCTGTCTTTATCATTGGTCACACCCTGTGTGCCTAGTCCATCTATTTCATGAACAAACTATAACACGTTCCAGGAATGAGGCTCAGAAAGAGTGGTCGGAAAGGTGTTGTAGCGTTGGCTGTGATAAACTTGCCATGAGGTCAATAGAAGAGCGGAAGAAGGAGATCAAGCGAACAGCTGAGGTGGCAAATGTTTTCCTCAAAGCACTCAAAGAAGGCTCTTTTGCCATTTCGTCATTCCTTTTTCACTACATGAGAGCAGAATGTTACACTCATGCAATGATCTTCTTGTTCTCTTCAACTAGTTATGAAATTCTATTCCCATGAGCTCTTACATAGTTAACAGACCTCTCTAAATTTTCAAGTTTTCTTCATTAATGTATAATAAACATATAAATATTTGGAGTAATTATAAAAATTTTGTTGATTTAAATTATAATCTTTTAATGTATTTTCAATTTAAATCATTTGTTTACTTTCGTTAATCAAAATTAAAAAAAGAAAAAGAAAAAGTTTACAACAGGCACCACCAATTAGGTGTGGACGCAATATAATATAATTTTCTGTTCATTATTATTTTTATTCTACCTTTAAAATTTATAAAATTATTTTAGCTGTTAAACTTGTATTATAGAAATTTCATTCATATTTTAATACTTATAAGTAGAACATAATATAATTTGTTGTTATTATTATTCTTATTCTAACTTAATATTTTAAAAATCTATTTTTCCAATTACAATTTCAAATCACACAGGTTTGTGTGACCCAAGACGTATCCTCTTCCTGTTTGGTGATGGAGGCTTTTAAGTAATAATAATTGAGTTTACATACATTAGTGGAATTCCAATTTTTTAAAGGATTATAAAACCTAAAAAGCTTTAGATTTAAACACAAATACTAAACCATTTATAATACTCATGAAGCCCTATATAAATAGACTCCTTCTCCTACTTTTTCAAGGATTATAAAATCTAAAAGGTTTTGGATTTAAATACAAGTAGTGAACAGTTTATAATACTCATGAAGTCCTCTATAAATAGACTCCCCCTCTCCTATTTTTCGTCATCAAAACACTGAAAACAAAGACTTCAGATCTTGTTTGCAACAGTTGTGCATTGTGGATTTCACCATTCTCAATATTCTCGTTCTCAAGATGTACGCATCTCTTCAAAAGCTATCTTCATACCCTTTTTCTTTGTTTTGATATTATGATTTTTTAAACTGTTACTAAATCTCTTTGTTTTGATGTTTTGATTTTACAAATTGTTAGTAAATCTGTCATATTAGGATTACTCTTAATTTCTTTTGTCTTACATATTGTTTTGTCCTCAATTCTGTAAAGCCAACTCCAAAAAATATACCAACATTAATAATAACACAAAAACCAATAGTTTAAAAAAAAAAAAAAAAAACTTTCCTATGTACATCGTTGAACATGATCATCATTGGGGGTAAATTGGGCTGGGATCTATATATAAAAATAAAATAAAATAAAAAATTTACACTAACAATAATACATGTGAGGCAACAAAATAGTTAGGGGAAATAAAAAAAAAATCATTATTTGACCATTATAATAACAAAAATCTTGACTCTCACAACATGGGCGTTTAGCACAATATCAACTCCAATTTCCATTAATCCGTTTGATTAGTTGAATGAGTTTAGTTGGGAAAAAAAATACAATGGGTTTTATTACTAAAATA